GTTTTCTGCTCCCGTAAAGATTTACAGCCTCGGAAACCCTGTACAGGGTCACTATGAGTCGGAACCGACTCCACGGCACATAACAACAACAACAACATACACACAAATATGTGTGTGTGTTTATTATCATTTAATACAAGCAAAATTCCACTAAAAATAGACATCAGAAGTAACTCTGCTTTGCCTACTGGCAAAGTCTAAGGACCAGACTCCCAGAAGAGGGACTCTGGTCCCAGTCACTGATGCATGGTAATAAATCAATAAACAAACATAAGTAAAATGTCTTCAAGGTGAGAAACACACACACATCACCACTGCCATCACAAGAAGCAGTCAAAAGACAAATTGGGAAACATGTTTGCCACTCATAACAGAGACAAATGACTTATTGAGCAACTACATAAAAATTGCAACTAAAATCTTTTAAAGAAAAATAAGCAAAAATATTAATAAATACACAGATAAACAAATACAAATAACAGTTAAATATATGAAAAGATGCTCAACTTCATGCATAATGAAAGCAGACAAATGTAAACTTCACTGAGACGCAATTTTTCACCTATTCCACTGACAAAACTCTGTTAGTGTGACAATATTTTCCATGCATGAGGTAAATAATCACCCTCTTCTATTGCTGACTCATGGGAGTACAAACCCTAAAGAGATTTGTTAAAATTATGAATTCATTTTACCTGTAACCTAGTATTTCTGCTTCTGGCAAGCATTATTAGAAAAAGTTAAAATTGAGACTTAAAAAAATGTCCAATGACAATTGAAATAAAAACAATACGCATCACCTAACCTAAGTAAAGCAAGATGCAACTCTTGTTTCCAGCCTGAAACACCACCACATGCTTCTAGCCTGAAACACTGCAAAAAATCCTGGCCTGACACCCAATCCCTGAGTCCAGATTCTTCTACTTATGTGTCTATGAGCAAATCCTTTAAATACTCTGAATGCTGGTATGCCTGAAACCTTGCTAGGTGCTTTATAAATATCACTTCGTTGAATTCTCATGAGTATATTTCAAAGTTAGGAGTCCCTGCATGGTGCACAGTTAACACATTCAGCTGAAAACTGAAAGTTTGACAGTTTAAGCCTACCAGAGGCCCCTTGCAGGAAAGACCTAAGGATCAACTTCCCAAAAAAAGTCAGCCATTGAACACTATATGTTAAGTGCCGTTGAGCTGGTTCTGACTTACAAGGGTTTTGGAGGAGCAGCTGGTGGGTTTGAACTGTCTTCCCTGTGATTCCAGTTCTGTGCTTATCCTACAGTGCCACACAAGACTCCCTATGGAGCAGTTTTATTCTGATACACATGAGGTTAGTAAGGACTGGTAAGTAAGCATTGTAATCATGGATGGTGCAGTCAACTCCTTTGCTGTTGGTTGTTATTGTTGCTGTTACGTGCCATCAAGTCGGTTCTGACCCATGGCGACCCTGTATAGGGTTTCCAAGGAGCAGCTGGTGAGCTTGAACCTCCAACCTTGCAGTTCAAACGGCTTTGCAGTCTCTTGCATTAACCCACAGCACCACACCAGGACTCCTTAAATAATTGTTGTTGTTGTCAAGTGCTGTCGAGTTGATTCGACCCATAGCAACCCTGTATAGGGTTTCCAAGGAGCAGCTGGTGAGCTTGAACCACAGACCTTGCAGTTCAAACGGCTTTGCTGTTGGTAAGTGCTGTCAAGTCAGTTTTGACTCATAGCGTCCCTGTATAGGGTTTCTGAGGAGTGGCTGGTGGGTTTGAACCACCCAGCTTGTGAATCTATGGTTAGCAGCCTAGTGTTTATCCTACAGTGCCACACCAGGACTCCAGGAGGCTCCTATTGTTGTTGTTAAGTGCCGTCAAGTCAGCTCTGACTCATAGCAACCCTGTATAGGGTTTACGAAGAGCAGCCGGTGGGTTTGAACCACCAACCTTGTGGTTCGCAGTCTGGTGCTGATCCTACAGCACCACAATACACCATAATTTAGCAATGTCATTGGGACTAATCATGGTCCTTGATGTGTAATAGTTTGTCATTTTCCTGAAGCACATATTCAAATTACTCTGCAAGGTAGATGTGCAGGAACAAGCTACTTATCTGGTTAGTGAGCCTGTTAATTACTCAGTGTCTGTGACTCCAAGCCAACGGTGTCACTCTCTACTAATGATCACATACGCCCGGTATTATAAAAGACCTGAAGTGGACTGCGCAGATTTTTGTCAGTTGTGCATTATTGCATTTTGCAGAGGAAATAACAGATGAATGTGACAACACTTGAAGGTCTTCAGTGTATTCTCTGTGTATAAGATCTATTTGATTTCACTTAGGACTTTTCCAGAGAGCCACATCTGATACTATGCTCTACAAATGTAATATACGGACATGTTAGAAACTCTCTAGAAGAGAACACCCAAAGAGGAAAGACTAACAGAATTGAGTTCATTGAAAATATGATTATATAGGAAATATACTTTCTAAAAAGATAAAAATAAAATAAAAAATAATTATAATTTATTTTTGGTAGACTTCTAATGAACTGAAAGATCAGCAGTTTGAACCCACCAGCTGCTATACAGAGAAAATACCTGGTGTTCTGTTCCCATAAAGATTGTTGTTATTTTTGTTAAGTGCTATAGAATAGGTTCTAACTCATAGTGACCCGTATAGGGTTTCTGAGGAGCAGCTGGTGAGCTTGAACTGCCAACCTTGCAGTTCAAACCTGCCTTGCAATCCGGCTCATTTTCCCACAGAGCCTCACCAGAACTTCCCTGTAATAAAGATTACAGCCTAAGAAACTCTCTGAGGCAGTTCTGCATCGTCACGTGAGGTTCCTATGAGTCAGAATCAACTTGATGACACCTAACAGCAGCAATGAGGATGTTCCTCTAAAGCAGATTTATTTATTCATTTATTATAATGTTGTATTGATATCAGT